TCTCTGAGAGCCTCATTTTCCTTAGGCGAGCCACGGTCACTGTTGTTGAAGGAAGTAGAGTGGAGGAGAGAGGGTCTTTTCACAAGTATGAGGCAGAAAGATGTATTTATGGAGGGTATAGGAGGGCCCCTATATCAATTCTGTCATTTATAAGGATATTTGCCAGGAATGGACTTTTACCTGGAGATCAATTAATCAAAGTTGATGGCAAAAGTGTGGATGCTATGTCCCGAGATGAACTGCACAACGCTGTCCGGAGTGCAGGAGATCAAATAGGTATCACATCATATCTATTTCTATCACTTTTCCATTGAATTATTTTTACGGTTTCGTTCTGTTTTCTAAAAGAAGAGTTACATGCTGTGCTCCGGTTTTTTTTGCATAGTCCACCTATACAGTGAGGGATACGTTCTTATTTTGCGATTCGAGAGGTGCTTTCGCGTGACTGCGACCGGCTCGCTTTTTCCGCTTACCGCTAGGCAGCTGCAGCTGCCATTCAATCGCATTCAGGATAGAACTTTCCTCGATGGTAGCAGCGATCCAGCGATTAGCCATGGCGAATAAGTCGGTCACAGTCCACTCGCTTTACTAATCGCACAAGAGTGGCTCACATGTTGAAGTATGAAGGCGGGCCAAGCTATTCCGCTTCCATTGGTCATTTGAAGTATTCTTGTAATTGGCAAATTACCCTTATAACCTTTGTTCCAGTTCTGGAGGTGAAGTCTGTTCCCGAGTTGGCGGAATTCTGCGATCGAAAGCACCGCCAAAGTGGTGGAAGAGCAGACGATGATCAGTTAATGCTTGGTCATATCAACACGAATCTCTACGAGGTACAGCTCTATCAGCAGTTTTTTTTCAGTTCGATAGCTGTTCATGTCGAAGTGTGCGCTCTGAAAATTAGTGAGTGCTGAGTTTTGAGCAAAAATCAACCCCTGGCTGGAATCGAACCCGCATCTCCCGCTGACTAGGCAAGTACGCTTTTTATAAACCCACCGAGGCCGCTCCTGCCCTCTTATCTCAAAGGATTTGTACCATAGCCTTGCAGCACTCAAACATTTGACGTGACCAGCCGGTTAGTCACCGACAGTGAACCGCGAGGGTGGAGGTTTTACATGTCACTCGCTCGGTCAGTGGTAGATGCGGATTCGAGTCGCGCCTGAACTGGGGGACTCGGAGCCAGGGGTCTGACTTTTGCCCATAACTCAGCTTTTTTGCGATAATCTAGCAGTAGTTTCTAATTTTTCAATCCCTTTGGAAGAATGAGCGCAAGTCTCTCCGAAGAACTGAGCTGAGATTGTTCTCTGCCGTAGATGGCATCCATGGGAATATAAGAGTGTGAAGTGTCAGCAGCGCTTTGAGCGCGAGTTCGTAACCCAAAAAAACCACCTGAAACCTGAAACTCCGAGTTTAGGTTTTGTAATCGTTGCAGGACATCCCTGAGGAGCAGCGATACTGGCTTGTTCACAAAGGCGGTTATACGGTTGTACGGCTCCTCGAGCTTCTCCCTGATGGCCGAGCCCTCATCCGAGTAGCTGGTCGTGAGATGACTGTTGATTCCACCGATATCGACAGAATGAATCCAACTCATCTTGATCGAGTAGGCGATGTAGCAGCGCTTTGTTATCTGAATGAGACGAGTGCTGTACACCTACTGCGGCAGCGGTGAGTACCACTTTCTATTATTTTCGAATCGATTTCGAGTCCATAAGTTTATTCTGTGATTGTAGATTTGGATGCAACCTGTCGTACACGAATGCTGGCCTTATTAGTCTTGTTTGCCTCACGTCAGTTGAAGAAGGTGCAGTTGGTCAAGATCGTCTTGTTTCGCTATTCAAAGGATGTCGTCGTGGACAAATGCCCGCCCATATTTATGCTACTGCGCAACAGGTATATAGGTAAGTATTACTAAATCGATGTATTCTACAACTTGCTTCTTCAATCCTGTATGTAGATTTTCCGATCAAAGGCATGCCTTTTCAGGAATCTCCAAATGACGGGTCATAATCAATGCATTGTGCTGACGGGCAATAGTGGTAGCGGCAAGACCACACAACTTCGCAACTTTGTACATTATCTTGCTGAAGAAGTCTGGATGGACAAGGAGTTTGCCATAAGCTTCAATACTGGTATTTCGTTTAGCAGTTTGTGATTGCCGCTGTGATTTGTTCGACACCTCTTACAGACCGATTTCACATCAGGCGGCCATCCGCTGGGGTGGGCTTTCAATGAAACAGAGACGTAAGGGGAAATCTAGGGGAATCAAGTCATCTGAGGGAAGGGCACTTGAGGGACCCCCATTATGGTGAAATGGTGGTACCATCATCAAATTGGTGATTTCTGTAGCATTCGCAAACGAACTTAGAAAGCCTCACCTTATCGCGGAATTGTGATCCTTGCTTTATGAGGGGAGAATGCGTCCGCAGCTGCAATAACATACCACTTCCTCCGGTCAAAAGCGCAATGGAGGGAGGGCTGGAGGGTGGTGATAAGAGGGTGTAAATGTGCAACTCCGACTCCGGCTGCGCTTCCGCAAGGTCAGTCACGCGCATAACCATAATGATTGCGCCCCTGAGGACAAGCGGGGTGGTCAGAACGATGGTACCCCGGTACCGCTCCTTCAGCCCGCGTTTCCTCTGCGCATTCGAGCGAAGAAGAGTGGCTTGGCCACTGTGGCGGGCGCACTCCCTTCGAGACGGAATAATCCATGTGCGGGACTTCTCCTCATACAGTCTCTATCATTGCGAGACGCGGTCGTGTGTTCATTGCGGTTGCGTTTGGCGCGGTGCCAGTCGTTCTGGGCCCAGGTTGTGAAGCGGAGTGACGCCTGTTGATTATTATCTGCCGTATTACGCGTTTTCCTACCCCTTTTTTTTTGTCGTATACGCGTTCAACAAAAAGGCTGAGACCGGCTTCAACAATGTGAGCGACGTCGCGAACACGCCCCACCGGTCCGCAATGATGAGGACTGTACATTTATAGGCCGCTCTCGAAGGTGATTGTAGAGCCTCTTTTCGAGAAGACATGGGGCACTTGAGAGACTTCTCATGTTGAACTGGGATCATGCTGATTGCCGTACTGCAAATTGTTCACAAAGGCCGCTCCGGAGCTTCTTCCCTCATTCGAGCTTGGCACTTATCTTTATATGTGTCTAGTTGAGGTAATGGTCCTTGCTCAATAATTCCTTTAGATATTCCCTTATCTTCTCCATCCCTCAACCCCAACTTGGCGGTGAACGTAAGAGAATGTTCAGTTTGATAACCTTCTGTGTAGGGTCTACAGGATCGTGGGGTCGGTCTTCACTGATTTTGACGATGAGAAGGATATCGAGATGATTCATGGCCGTGCTTTGAGAAGGGTTCACTGTTCATTCCAGTACTCTCTTTACTGACTGTTCTCCTCACGAATTTTGCTGGTCATCGTATATGTCGATTGTACCGTCTAATCTGGCGTTGTTCGGTTTTCCTAGTTGGTCCCTTCATCGAATTGGAATCCATGTGGCCGCTGCAATTTTGAATTCTGCTTAGTTCTCATTACTTCGGCTTTTTGTATTCAGATGAGAAATTGGCATTGGCATTGGGCGTTGTAGAAGCTTTCGGGCACGCAGCGTCGACTATTCACCGTGACTCCACCCGTTTTCTTCACTTATTTTCACTTGGTTTTGATAAAGCTGCAGCTCTGAGGTATGCCGTTTGCTTTAATCATTTCATGTATCATCTAATCGTTTTGTTTTGTAGGTCAGCTCGATTGCAAGTGTCGTTGTTAGAAGCCGATCGCGTAGTAAGAAGACGAAGTGGTGAAGCTTCTTTCCACGTTTTCTATTATCTGTGGGAAGGCGCGGAGGGAGCACTTAGGGAAAGACTTCAACTAGATTCAATCGAACAACCTGCCATAACGCCGTACTACAAAGAAGAGGATCGGCAAAGTGCCAAGGAGGTGGGTTGTTTGCTTTCTTGGCGGGGTTATATTGTTTAGCTCCTCTCATCCTTTCATTCAGGCATGGAACCGTCTACTACATGCTCTGACGGACTTGGGTTTCTCAGAAAGTCAAATTTCTGCGGTTTCTTCTGTTCTCGGTGCGATTTTGCACATCCAAGCTGCTGGCTGTACACCGGGCAGTGCCCAGCGTGCTCATTTTCTTCGAGTGGTCCACGCTCAGCATGCTGCGGCTCTCTTGGGCGTATCGACGGAAGATCTTGGCAATGCATTATTCCGAGGCAAAACTTCTAACAACAATGTTGCTGCTAAGGTCACCGCAGCAAGGTGAGTTCTGCCTACCGAAGCACGCAAATTCAAGTGTATGTATGTGCGAAAGGATCATTTTCTGATAGTGGGCAGTATTTCTGTGAGGGTGGAGCCATCCGTTGCTGCTCGAGAAGGCGAAAGTTTGTAAAAGATGGAATTTCTGCTACAAGACGCAAAACAGGGGGTGCGCAACGAAGTGGAGCTTACAAGGGAGGTCGTTCAGGTCGTGGTGAGCTTTTCAAAAACGGTTTGTTGCATGATGTAGGGGTCCATGCAAGGACCACACAGATGGGGTTCATTTTTGCTAAACGCTATTGGGAATGCCAAAAAAGGTCAAATATAATTCGAAAAGAATGGGCCATTTAAACCACCTTATTCGCCTCCGTTCTAGCTGTAGCGTTGACAGCGTATAGTATGTGAGGTATTCTTTGAGCAGGCATGAAAAAAACAACGCAAAATAAGGTCAAAATTCAAGTACTTCACTTGAATTGTGGTGAGCTACATAGGGTTTCATAGTCATCTGCGCATATCTCTTCAATAGGTCCTGCATCTCATTACTCGCAGTGGTCGGTGGTGTGGTGGATAACGCGATGGACTCTCAATCGATACGTTTGTGGATCGGATCCTCTTGACGACATTTTTTGCATTTTTCAGATCTTGTATTCCTGTGTGCCCCATAATGTGTATGACCCGGATATACGCCATTTAAGGGCACATTCTATGAGGTAATGGTTCACAATGGGGTCTCACGCAACTATTACGCTCGCGAAATACTATCGAAGAAACTCTCCCTGAAACTTGGGTTACGGCAGTTATCCGATGCCCTGATCACGAATATGACACTCATTTTCGAATATGACGCAATATGTCGCCAATTTGGTGCAAAGGCTCTCTCGTACTAACATCACTGCCACCCTGCGCGGCGGGCCTATTTAGCGCCATACTGGCCCCAGATGGCCTCCGCGCCAAAAATAAGTCAAAGCCGTGAACAGGACCATCAAATACCCCTATGTACAGAGATAAACCGGAAAAAATTTTTCCGGGCTTGTTGTAATATGATGCCTGCCCGTCTCCAGTTAGAGGCTATCAGTCCCCCCCCCCCCCTCCCAGAAGTCGTTATCCAACATCGTTAATAGGAGCTTTTCATTTGCTAGTATGCAGACGCATAAGTAACGACTACAAAATTTAAAAAGAAGTGGCGTGCATACCATTTCCTCTTCTGGTTGAGAGAAACAAGATCCTTTGCAAGGAGGTAAAGAGTTCTTTGTTGAAAGCCTAGACGGTAAAAGTGGAGAAAGATTCAGGATGCTGGTTTAGTGACTTCGAAGCTAACACGGTGTTCTTTGAAGACTTTCTGAGGTTGAGAGTGCGAAAAATGTAAAATTTCTGGCGGTTCGTATGCCAGAGGCCCTCACGGAGGGTTCACTGCTGCTGCACTACAAACAAGGAAAACTCAGAAAAATGTTTTTGGTCTAGAACAGAGCCGAAAAAATGATCAAATTAGCCAATTATGCGCAACTTATTTTTTTGGCATTCCCAATAGCGTTTAGCAAAATTGAACCCATCTTGTGGTCCTTGCATGGACCCCTACATCATGCAACAAACCGTTTTGAAAAGCTCACCACGACCTGAACGACCTCCCTTGTTAGTGCGCCGGTGCATATCCATGACCACACTCGTTTTGTGAAAAACCATGACGCCGCTGAAGTTGGGCGGGCTTTCAGGGCGGAATTGCAGCAGTATTCAGTGTCGTCTTATTAATTAACCGCCTGATGTGAGTAGTGTGTCCAGTTTGATTTTGAAAGTGTCCGATCTGATTTGGAAAGCGTCCGCTTTTGTTTAGAAAGTTTCCGATGAGGTTGAATGTCCCAAGACTGCTCCTGTTCTTGAGCAGGCGAATTCGCTTTTGGAGAAATTTCTATGGTTTTTTCAGTCGCATGGCCCTCACGTCTCGTGGACCGGATGCTCCTGAAGCTCTGGTATCGTTTTGCGCTGGTCTTTATCAGGAACTCTTCTATACGATCATCGAATTCATCAACAAGGCTCTTATGTCCAATGCAGCATGCACATGGATTTCGGTTGGTTTTCTTTTCTCATGGCGAATATTTGCTTTTTGCCGTTCTTTCAACTTCCCCTCTTATTTTTCGCTTTTGACAATATTTGCCTTTGTCATAGAAAAATCATTGTCAGCGGTATCTTGAGCTAGCTCTAACTGAATAGTTCTTCAGGTTCTTGATTACACTGGTTCATCATTCCATGCAGAATGGACTGAAATGAACGGGCAACGATTCCTTGGCCTCAATGATCTCGTTCATAATTATATTAATGAACGCGTTGCTGAACTTTTCTACAATGTCTGCTTTGTGGAGGCACAAGAGGTATGGCATTCCGCTTTCAACATTGAAGGCACACTTCGCAGTTGATGGAGAATCCTTTGAGGACAAACACAGGATCGCATTTTTTGGATAGTGGGGTTCAGTTACAAATTTGTAGTAGCTTAGTGACTCTCCAGAAAAAAAAGCATTCAAATCATGGAGAACACCCTAAGTAAGGAGCCCCTGGAAGCCTTACTGTACGAATTCTTCTAACCTGCTTGTTCCAAGCCAGCAAAACGATACCCGGCCGTCTCTGGCTCACTGGTCGGTGCTTCGCGACATCCAGTGTCGATACTAACGGAGAGAAAAGACCAAAAACCCAGTGTTAAAGCTGAACACGTGGCAGAAAATATTTTGAGTTTATGGACGGGACAAGTAGGGAAGGCGTCAGAACTGCCACCTGTAGAAACCTCACCGCCTTCATTACTCAGGCAGCGTTCATACTTTGCCATGGCAGCGCTTCCGTTGCGCGTTCGACGCGTGCCGAACATGCGCATCCGATCGAGTACAAACGCTGCCGAAATAAAAACAATGAATCGGAAAAGGTTGCCCGCGTCGCGGAAGTCTTGAACGCTGCCTTGCTGGGAAGCCGCAAAAGTGGGACAGTTTGAACAAGAAGGGACATCTACGAACTGATTAAGCGCGGTGACTGCTTTGAATTGAAAACAAGGGACTGCAGCTTGCGTCGAAATGCCCATTCAGCAGCTACAAAGTGAGCAGGATTCGAGCTTCAAGCTTGCAACTTTACTAGGGAAGTCGTCAGGTCGAAGTGGCCATTTGTAATGAGATGTAGCTCACTAGACGTGGTTTTGGACGCTGATCTCGAATCTGCCTTCGAAATTTGCAGAACGATTTCTCTGAACGGAACTATGAAGGTTTTTTAGAATTAAAGAGAGAAACAGAAGTCGAGCCGGCGGCTTGCCGGCCAGTTCGCATGAATACTGCCGGAACACCTTTCCGTGCAACGGTGGCATGGTGTAGTTGTTAAAGGCAAACATGCCTACGAAGCAAATGTCTTGCTTCGTAGGCATGTCATGAAGGGTTCGAATTTCTGGAAGTGGGCTTGTTTTGCATTTTGTGGGGAATGTCTCTTTTGAGTCTAGAAAACACTCAAATGCCAAATGGGTGCCATATTCGTGTCAGTGTGAGAAACTACCTGACAGGGTGTTCTGAGCCAGATGTGATGTTTTTGATCTAATCTTTGAAAAGTGGCGGCAGCAGTTGAATCGTATGGAGGTGACCAATATTCCAGTCCAGTCCTCTGTCGATTGTTTGTCTTTGACATGAATTTGCTTTTTAGATTACCAGAAAAACTGGAGCAGTTAACAACATGATAATGCCGTTAAGAAAGGGGTAAATAGCGGAGCTTCGTGGGCAGGAGAGATGTATCGCTGCTGAATTGGTGTTGAACACCAAGAAGTAACGGCCATTGATGCTTCACTTTCGAAGCTCAGTGTCAAAAAGGCAGATGTTGCTAAAGTCTCTACCTTAGGCTAGTTTTGGACTGCCATAAATACGCAATATCACTTCGCTTAGGCGAAAACGGCCTCACTGCGCCTCTAAGGGCATCTGTACATGCCTCCTTATATCATAAAAGCAACTAAGTCGCGCCAGTAAGCGAACGCCAAACTGTTTTTTCAGGCAAGCAAGGAGAGCCGCTATGTACTATTGACGCCTCAACAAACTCCTTTTGCCCCGTTTGCATCAAGGAACAAAAAACGGAGGCTTCATGCAAAGGATCCGATCCCACGACCGTCCGGTAAACGCGTGGACGAATAAGCTGCCATAACATCCGTTCAGCAGACGTCGGTCCTGCAAATTCAAAGGCAGACGAGATCACGTCTAAAAGCACGTCTAGCGAGCTACATCTATTCAGCAAATGGCTCACTTCGAGCCTGACGACACTTCCTGTTAGCCGCGTGAAGCCTAGCTAACGTGTTTACCATTTTGCAGTGTGTTGCTCTGTAAGCCCCAGTGTTTTTGTCTGGTTATGATTGCCAGTCTTTGGGCTCTCTGGCATATGTTCGCACGTCTCCTGCTGCTTGTTCTTACACAGCTACTTATCTTATTTTCGCAGTAATTTCGTCCTGCTGCTCTGACGACTTTCAATTGCCGTGTGCTGCCTTTGTAATCATATGTTTGGTCATTCCGCTCTTTTCAGAAATATTTGATTGAGCATTGATGCTGAGTGTCTATGTTTTCCCCTTTGTGTGAGATCATCAGTTTGCCAAGCAAATCATCTTTTGTCATAGCCATGTGCAACTTACGTTCCAGGTTTATTCCCGAGAACAGATCGATGTGGAGATGGAAATGCCGCTTGTCTCACCCTGTCCTCTGACTAGGCTGCTCGATCAGCGACAGCAATTGGTTGGAATTTAGTTTTTCAATTTCAGAAGTATCTGACCCGCTGGAAGTGATCCGAGATTGTAGTTTAATATTCCTTGTTACAGCTGTCATGCACTGATATTGACCGTCGTTCTGAAGAGAAGCGTGGACTGTTCGCCATTTTGGAAGAAGAATCAATGTTCCCTGGTGCCACCGATGAAAGTCTTCTGGAAAGAATATTTGTGCACCTTGGGGATGAGTCCAGGTTCGGAACGATCTTCCTTCTGCACGTTGACAGGGCGGGTGGTTGTTGCCAATGTCACTGGTGGAAAGGCTTTGTTGCCAACATCAGTGGTGCAAGAGCTAAGTGGGGTGTGGCCAAACGGTCTCTCGCAGCCCCTTCACCAGAGATGCTGGCAGCAGCCGCCCGCTTTCAGCAGTCCTGCCCACTGCCCTCAAGATAACTGATAGAAGCATCCTTTTCTGATTGTAAAAGCTCTCCAAGCTTGTCAGACTTCCATTTCTATCCACGGCGTGGATGGGTTTTATGGATTTTCATTTCAGACTTATACATCGTGCTAGCCGTCCTTTGCAGTTCGTACTGGAGCATGCCATGTCCTGTTATCCGTCAAAATACGACGTCACTGGTTGGGTGAAGCAGGCTCAACCGTGCGAGAGCGCTGCTGCTGCTAGACCATTACTGATTCAGAGCAAGAGGTGAGGAGCGTGTACACTTTTAGGAGTTATTTCGTATAATACCATGACATACATCCAACTTGCGTTCAGTCCCCAACTGGCAACCATCTTCGGTGCCTCACTGCCTAACGATTCGAGTAAGTTACGTCGTGCTACACAAGCTGCTCAGTTTGAACTGAATGCGCGGAGATCGACCAGCGGCTTCTTTGCGAACATCAGTTCACAAATAGTGAGTTTACGTGATTGCCGATCTTTTTCTCAGGCTGAGTTTCCTTTTCGAGAAGTTCATTGAGTAACGAACTGGCAAGTTTAAACATCGAAAAGAAATGCTGAACTATTGCTGTAACCATGCATACGCTTTCACCAGAAGCTTTTTCGTGGGGACCGGGTTACCAAATGTGTAAAGAAAAAAAAGAGACCAAAAAGAAAAAGAAATACGAACAGCATATAAACTTGAAGCTAGAAAAAGCAATTAGGCTGTGTTTCGAACTAAATTAAAGAGATCACCGGGACCTTCCTTGTGTTTCTTGTAAGGCCGTTTTCCCCTTTAGGAAGATGAAAGAGTCCCCCGCGAGATCCTGGTCCTTGGTTCTGAACGCAAGGATTCGACGACAGTACTGGGGCTTGCTGACAACTTAACCCGTTACGAACGAATTCGTCCGGGACCCCAGGCGAGCAAACCAAGGGGGACCTCAAGCGAGGGGTTCATCATCCCTCAGGCTCATCAAACAACTGGTAACACAACTCAGTCCGCGACCGTCGACCAAGAACACACATCGAATTGGACAGCCTACAGCTTTACATTCCGGTAACGAATATGAGAGACAATGGATGATGCCTCAGAAACCGAAGCTAACAATCAACCGAACAACAGTTGATCGCAATACGTCTCTTTGAAGCCCTTCTGTGTGAACGGGTCCGCGGCTGCGCTAGCGTACCATTTTTCTTCGGTAAAAAGTACATGGGAGCGGGGCTGAAACGTAATGATATTTCCGTACTCCACCTGCGCTCCTCAATGCGCAGCACTTGCATCGCTACCAAGGTTCCACAGCGAAATACGTACTCAGTGGTAGAGAATAGCT